TGACCATCCCAGACTCAGTGAGCCACATTGGGCAAGAGGCTTTTAGGGATTGCAGCTCTTTGAGGACTTTGGCAATCCCCAACTCAGTGACCCGAATTGAGAATTGTGCCTTTGCAAATTGCAGCTCATTGGTGAGCTTGACCATTCCAGACTCAGTGACCTACATTGCGGATGGTGCCTTTTTTTTTGTTGTAGCGCTTTGGCAAGCTTGACCATCCCAGACTCGGTGACGCACGTGGGGAATTTGGCTTTTGAGGGCTGCACCTCTTTGGTGAGTTTGACCATGCCGAAGACATTGAGTTTCCCTTTGGCCAAGCGGAGGAAAGCCAGACACCTGTGACATGTAAAACGATCAATTGCCCTGGGAGTCCAGGACTGCTGTGGAAAAAAATGGGTCGCCAGTCTTGGCGACCCTGGACACACTGGTGGAAAGAGCGTCAATGTTTTTGGTGGTTGTTTTTGGTCATTCCCCGGTCTTCCGAATGTTTTGTCTGGTCTCATTGGACTTGACTCTCCGCGTTTCGGACACGCGTCGTCCCAAAAAAAGGAATGGCCATGGGCATGATGGGGCGAGGTCTGACCACGGCCGCGAACCGCCTTTTTTCGTGGACCTTCAGAGCGTCCACACACACATGTATAGCCCTACAAGTCAGGAGCTGACCTCATGAAATACTGGAGATGGTCATACAAAACCAATAGGGAATAGGTCAAAGACCAGAGACTGGACCTGATATATGTACACCATGTATACGGGAGCTTTCTTTCGCCCGGATTTTTTTGGACACCCCCTATAGACACCTGACACCTCTAGGTGGCTATTTGTAGACACCTCTTAAAATTTTCCTGGTATAAATATGCATATATAGATGTTATATATATATATATTGTGTATGCATACGGTTTACACGCATATACTTGTATCATATAGGTGATCATGGTTTGTAGGGCATCCATTCTGTTCATGTTGGGGACCCACATCTCTCCACCCGGTGGATTTTCATTGCCCCACTCACCTGCAAGTCTTCTATTTTCCATCTCATCTTCAGCCTTTCCAGCCTCCTTGCTAGACACGTGCTGGTAAGGGATTTGACGGCCTCCTCTGCACGAAAAACTGCGTTCAACCCACACCTGTCCGTCATGGTAGCCGCTTCCACCCAACAGGTGCTCATCCACCCAACAGGTGCTTTCCCTTTTTGAGCGATGACGCATAGGCATACATAGGCCGAGGTGAGCAAAGGTGAAATCATGACCCAGATGTCAATTCACCATGGTAGTTCCCTTCCCTTCGCGCTTGTCCCCACGGCCACTCCACGGTCGCTGCGGCTCCAGGAGCTGGAGTACCAGCTCGGGCCCCGCGTCTTCCAGCCCCAGCCGCACGCCCTGCCCTGGCAGGGAGTGCGCGTCTTGGAGCTCTCATGCCGCTCCTGGACGGCGGCGCTCTGCGGACAGGTGATGGCCGCCTGCGGCGCCGAGGCACGCCGGAGGGGGTGCCGGTTCCAGTCGGTGCCCCCAACGGGTGCGAAGGGAGGGAGCCCCCAAAGAAGTGGAGTTCGACTCCACAAAGGATCACGTCGATTGTGGAGAGCCTCATGCTCCACGATGCGGTTCCGATGCAGCCTGGACGTTCCCGAGTGCGGGGAGAGACAGCACTTCGAGCTCGGTTTTCTTGATCAATGGTTTGAGGCGTTGAAACCTCAAGAAGTGGTCTACGACAACGAAGCGACATTTTTTTAAATATTGAATAAACAAGAATTAACAAGCAACAAGAAATATAAACAAAGACATAAGTTTTTCTACTGCCAGGTCTATTCTGTTGAAACATGAGCAATAGGAACATGTCTGTCCCAAGTGCCGTTCAGAACGACCTTTTCTCGCCGTTTTTGTCGCTTCCGCCAAGAAGGTCATTCGTGTGGCCTTCGGGGAGGAAGCGCTGTTGCAGCAGAAGAAGTCCAACGCCCAGCGCGGCCCTTCCGGAACCGCCGGAACGGGCACCGACACTGTGCCCAATGCGGTGCCCAGGCAGTTGCATGTGGGGAAGCGTTTGGCGCCCTACAACGTGGAGGATTGGGGTTTGGAAGGAGAAGGTCCAGACAGGGAGAAGCGACGAGCAGTTTTTTTGTAAAAGGCAGTAGGCCACCAGCACTTCAGTTGTCTTAGTTCTTACACGTTCTTCGTTTGCATGTAGCTGGAGGGCGTGCAACAACTGACACAGAGCGAACATACCCTACAAGTCAAAGACCTCATTTTACTGAGATGGTCATACAAAGCCGATACGGAATAGGAGGTAAAGGACAAGGTTTGGACCTGGGTCAAACTGGACTGGTATAGGGCTTGCGAACATATGTTGGAATTTGAACGTGAACGGCCCCGAAAAAGGGTGTGACAGGGTTTATCTTGGCTGCAGACGGGCGGACAGAACAGGAAGAACAACATTCTTTGTGCGTTTCATCTACTGAATCTACTGCCCTTTTCCGATTGGCAGGGGAGTGCTGGAGTGAGGTTTTGCCAGCTGCCGACAGGACCCTGAGGAGCTGAGTGTGCTGAAGTCGGAGCTGCTTATGGGCTGCAGCCTCTTGCTGACCGACCTGTGCGCTGAGGAGCTCGAACAGATGCAGCCGCCCGGACGGAGTCGACCACTCGTCGTCGTCTCCGTCGGTGCGAACAGTGGGGATGTGGGGGCGGCGTCATGCAGATGAACAACTGCCCGGAGATCATGGGGGCGTGTGCTCAATCACCATGGAAATTCACGAAGATTGGTAAAGAGGGGCTTGGCTCACACTCGTAAAAAGAATCCATCAAGAATCCTGAGAACCAGAAACAAGAAAACGAGGCATCTCCTCTTTTGTCCTCTTTTCTTCCTTGTCTTCTTTTTGGTAAACTCCCAGATCCGAACCGAAGGCCCTGAAACTCTGCCACTCTGGGGCGGCCAGTTGTGCTTTGGGCTTGCAGGTCCCGGTGCCGCCCCAGCCCACGACTAGACTGGCACCTCCAGCCAGGACACCCGGAGTTCTGAAGGTCTTGGAAAAACATTGAGAGAACCCACACCACACTCCGAGGAAACAGTTCTCATATCATACGAATCGTCGGTCCTTCAGTTCATTGACTCCCCAGGCATCATTGCAACAAGACCTCCTGACCTCCTACCAGGAGGTGTTTGACCTGATGGGAAACCTCTGCACTCCGCACCCTCCGCACCACAAGACCCATCTCAGGATCAGTCCGCGGCCCCGGGCACAGAACTGCTCGTAGACCTGGAACATGCAAACCCTCTCAAGAGGTTTTCTTTTCGAGGCCGGCCCCAAAAAAAGCGAGATGTGGAGGTTTAGTTCGCAGGCTGCCCGGCAGGGTTCGCCACTCATGTTCTTCCAAGGCTGGGAGCCGCCAGCTTGCGGCAGCAATGCCCCTGGTTGATCTTCGTGCATGCATCGGTGGTGGGCATGCGAGCGGATCTCAGCAACAAGGGCGTGGAAGATGCGGGGGCCTTCTTCTCCCTCTCAGGCGCGTGTTCGGAAGAAGCTTTGAAGCTCAGGGGTGCTTGGTGGAAGACATAGGGCATGCAGGCACAGGTGAGTGGTGTTTCATGAGTGACCGCATAAACAGGCTACATGGGCTCCCCAGTTCTAGGTCATAGCCAAATATATAAATCGGAAGCACCGAGGCCTGGGCTTGGCCAGGTCTACGGTGACATAATGTTGACATATGTTGAACTTGGAGGAAGTCGGAGGGTGCCCAGAACATCCACCCACTGAATGGGGACTGCAAACCACCCAACTCCATGTGACTCGTGACTCGTCCCTTCTCTCACCAAACCAGGGAGGCCGAGGGGCAGGGCCACCTGCTTCCGAGATTCCTCACGGCTCCCTCCTTCTTCGCACGCGACCGGCGCTGGGGACGACACGTGGGGCCCTTTTCGGTGTTCGCTGACGGTCGTCCGGCAAGCCGCAGTCGTCCGGTCGTCCGGTCGTCTGGTCGCCCGCCAGGCTTGGCCGAGCAGCTGGGCCACTTCCTGGGCCCGTCGGGCCTGGCGGCGGCGGCCGCGGCCTCGGCGCTCTTCGGCGTGTGCTCCATGGCGGTGCTGCGGCGGCGCTGCGGGGCGCCAGGAGAGAGGGAGGGGTGAGGGGTGCTGGGGGTGAGGGTGACGAATTTTCCTGCCTTAATGAAGAATCAATCCAAATGAAGCGTCATCTATGGTCAAACCTTGAGGGACCAGTTGCGGCCTTGTCCTAGGCAGGGATGCCTCAAATCCGGAGGTGGAGTTCTGTTACTATGAGTTACTATGAGGCCTTGTGTGGAGCATCATTCTCCACACAGCAAGCGCTCGCCAATCACTGCACCCCACCCCCACCACATGCGACATATACTCCGCTCAGCCAGGAGACCGGGTGGAGATGAGCATCTTCCGCTCGGGCCGTTGGTGTTCGGCCCTGGGTGCCTTGACCGGCTGGGCGGCTCCCCCCGCGCCCGCGGAGCACCACCGCAGCGGCGCCGCGGCGCTTGCTGCACCGCCCCGCGGAGAGGCGGAGGCGCTGGCGCTGCCGTTCGACGTGGAGGGCGTGGCGCGCAGACCGGGGAAGAGAGCGAAGGTGGAGCGGAAGCCTCAGCAGCTTGGAAGTTGGAGGGGTTGAGGGTTGAAGGGTTCTTGAGCCGAACTTCTGGGCACCCCCATGAAGTTGGAACCTGCGAGACTCTGCAGGGGTCCTATGCTGGCAAGCTGCTGGAGCACCCATCCCGCCCGCAATCGTTTCTTTCCTCACCAGAGGCCGCTGGAGGATTCCATCATCGTTTAACGTATATAGAGTCTTGATTCAATCAGATCCTTGATTTGGATGCACTCACTTGCGGGTCTGAAACGCTTCTACGCCATCCCTTGCTGTGTCTTACAGCGGGTCTGGGTAGAATAGTGTGAGACTTACGTCCTCAATGGTGAGAAAAACAAACCACTTTGGGTATACCTAAACGACCTACGAAGCTTGGTGCAAAGGCATGGCCAGTGGCAAGCATCCATTGAGTCGGAATGTCTCTGAATTCCAAACAAAGCGACTGTAATTCATGTACCTAATTTTGAATTCGGATGCAACATGTCATCGAAGTTCTTCTTGCGAAACAAGGCCATAGCGAACATGTCGTAGAAATGGTTCTGTTCTGTTGGCACTTCGGGGTCGGCCAAGGCTGACCACATGACACACAGTGTGAAAAGGGGGGATTGTGAGGCATGGCAAGCAAAAGGTTATTGATAAATGCATAGGTTACCTGTGCATTTGGGAGTGTTGGACGTCTTGATATGCCCCCCTTTTCATGGTGTGGTGAGAAACCCAGCCGTGTGAGGCTAGAGGTGCCCTGTTTCTTATACTGTGGTTTTCAACTTTGTGCGCGAAAACGTCTGAATATGTTTGACTATCCATCTGAAATTCTCGGCCAGAACTTCATATGCCAGGACCTTCCAAGCCAGCCAGGTGGTTTTGGGGCACCCCGAATCACCTCTTTCCGAGGCTGTTTATAAACACCTCGACTGGTATCGGTCCTGGTGAGGACGCAGGGTCCACCACCCGAGACCGACCGAGACGGGGGGGCCGAAAGGAAACACTCCTTCGTTGTTCACAGCTGCACAGCACGGTCCTGTTTCACCCATGACTCGGTAAAACCACCTGCTGAACCAGGGCAGTTTGTTGTCTCGATAGCAAGGGCTCGAGGCATCTACATGGAACCACCTGCTTTGTCATATTCCTGGTTGTCCCATTCCAGTCCTTGGTCTGAGGTGGTCGGTGCTCGAGCCCTCAGCTTTGCTTCCTCCAGTGCTGACCCCCACCGCCCCCTGTGCCGCTGAGCTGCCTTTGGCGCGTGTGGCAGTGCTGGAGATCAGCGACGAGTACCAGGTGTGGCGGAGGACTCTTGAACGTTTGAGCACCAGAACCAGGGCCACCACCATGGCCATGGCCATGGGCTTCTGGTAGCAAACCAGGCATCCCCCAAAACCGGAGCACAGAGCCTTGGGAAGCACCTGCATGTTATCTCGTCTGATTCTTTCTGAGGATGTCGATCGAATACTTAGCATACAAAGTATTGCGCACCAGACCATGTGCCGATTCAAGCTCTGCGCTGCAATCATCCTCCGCTCGGATGTTCCCCTCAAAAACGCTCATGGACTCCAGGAAAGATCTGGACACCGTCCTCTGACGTTCGGGTTGGTGGGCTGGTCTGAAGACAAACGAGAAACTCGTGACCTGATCTCAGAGTCATGGTCTTCCAGCAGAGGTTGAAGAACCCGAACTAGACTATCCTTATAGGTACCCCTGTAGGGTCCTAGTTCAGGTCACTATCCACCTCTGTTGGTTAAGAGAAACACCTGCCCCCATCCCCATGTTCCTTCCCCCCCCACGTTCATGCAAGCGATTCCAGAAGAACGGTATCGATCAAGGGTATCGATTCCTTCTTCAATGAATTCCTTTTGAATGCTTCCGATCCCTCCTTTAGGTCATTGTTTCACTGGCCCCTGAAAAGCACCTAAGCAGGTCACTTTGAAGAACCCGGCCGACCGTGGACACTGGCCGTCATAGCGCCAGTGTCATCCTTGAAACTAAGAAGGTTGGCTATGACTCGGTACGTTGCGATCCTGACACCACTCGCCAACGAATGGCGGTAGGTCGGTGCCATGGCGCTTGGCGCGCTGCTGGCAGACCTGGGCGCACGGGCCGCTGGGTTGGATGGGGGTCCTGAAATGGTGGAGTTGGTGAGATGGGGATCCCTACAGGTGGTTGGGGTCCCAACAGGTGGTTGGGGTCCCAAGAGGTGGTTGGGGTCAGGTGGTGAACTCCACCTGTTCCGCATGATGATTCGCACCGGAGTGGGAAGTGTTTGGTCAGCCAGGCCAGCATCAAGATCAAGGTCCAAGCAATGCTCCCATTGAGCTGGAAGAATCGCATCCCAATTCTCAAGGGGTAAGATTCGACGAGTAACACTTTTCCCTAGACCAGGGTCATCCGACCATTTGGGTGTCCTGGCTGGACTGCCCTGCACTACTATCCGGGATCTCCAGACAGGGCACCCGGACAGGAAGTGCTAGGTATATTCAACAATCTCCCCCTTCTCCATGCTCATCCAAGCCATACCATCGAAGCCTGTGGGGATGTCTTCCAGTGGTGGACTGGTCAGTAACCTTTGCTTGCTGCCCGACGAATGCTGCGCAGCCGAAAAGAAGAGAAGAAGCAGAGAAGAAGCAACGCAGTTCGATTGAACAGGTATGGACGGCCATGGCGTGGAGAAAGCAGCTGAGCCATGGAGCCATGGCGTGGAGAGGTTCGCAGTTCGCGGTTGCAGGGAATTGATGTAATCGTGGTCTTTCAAGTCGAGTCATGCCAGAGATGACTGGCTGGGAGTGTAGCCGCTCAAAAGCGGGACGCTCGCCGTGCTGGGAGGAGCTGCAGACAACAGTTTCCCAGTGCATCCCAGTTACCATAAGAATCAGGAACCAGGTATTCTGGGGTCTATGGTTTTAGTCTTCAGAAACGCTGGTTGCCGGCGACATCGTGGGAACTGCCTGGATGGTGTGGCTTTGCCAGCGCAGCGCAGCGAGATGCTCCCAGGGATGTGCTCGGACTTGCGAGCCTTGCAGATGTGTCATTGACTTGGAAGCGTTGCTTTTCGGTTGAGCTCCCCAGTGATGAAACTCAGATGATCTCGGCCCTTGTGGGTTGCCACGCCGCTACGCCGCTACTTATCGCAAAGTCACTGGACCGGACCCACATACCCCCCCCACATCAAGATGGTTTGGGCATGTGGATGCTCGCCATGACCGGACTTCTGCCTCTGACGCGTGGCATGGGCCTCCGCGGCCTCACGATGACCCTCACGCCCATCGCGCCCGGACCGCGGGGCCTCCGCGAGAGGCGTGGGAACTGAGGTGACGAAGTTGGAACGTCCGCAGCGGCCGGACCCCTGGCAGCGCACCTGCCCACAGCTCTACAAGGACCTCACCGCGCGGAAGGTCGTCCAGGCGCGAGGGGAGGGAAGCAAGGAAGCGAGGCGGAGGAGAAGAGGTGGAGGGCTACGTGGAGGCGTTGGGCTACTTCTCACGCACTGGGAAGGGGTTTTGGAAGTGGTCGATATATATATATATATTATACATATGACTCATTTGCACTTGCACCAGTTTCTTTACAGGATATGACATTTTTTCTCTCTTGTTGCTGGAAGTGTTCTGAACAAAGTGACCCGTGGAGCCTTGCTAGGTGTACTCCTGCCAAAGCCATCTATTGGCAGTTCAGTGGAGCAATTTCGGTGCCAAGTTCCTGCACGATTTTCAGGGGGATTTTCCCCCATGGATCGGCTGCTTTCCACTTGAGCTTGGGACCGCCGCTCCGGCCGAAACCGAACCCGGCTCCCCCCCTGCACTGCTTCAGGTGGTGAACTACTCTGGCATCGGGGGCCAGGATGCTCAGGGACATCCGGTGCCCGGACAGGCGCACGCGTTGGCGGCGGTCCGCGTGGCGCTGTGAAGCCATCGAAACCCCCGGGAGAGGCCGGAAAAGGACGGTGCCCAGTGGTCGTCTTCGAAGACAGGCCACAGACACGCAGGTTTAGACACTTGATTGGCTATGGTTCGCTGGCACCGCCCTTGAGGTTTCGACCACACCGTGGTCAAGCGAGCAACACCTGGGCACGGGCACACCTGAGACGAAAGGGACCTTTCGGACTCAGCGAAACGGCCAGGCGGCGGTGTACCGGGCCTTGGCCGAAACGACCTTGTTGATCACGAATTTGCCCAGTCAAGCGCTGGAGAGTTGGGGCTACGATCCGATCCTCGGATGGGGGCGGATGGAGGCAGATGGAGGTGGAAGTGGCCGTCCATGGTCGGGCCTAGGGCGCTTGAGGGAGACCTCAAGCGCATGGAATGGGAGACCTGATGTTGTTCCGGATTCGGGGGGGGGCCCGAGCTTGTGTTGCAGTGTTTGAGTTTGGGATGATGAAGCCTTACAACTTACGAGATCTTACGCGTCTTTTTTCACCGACCCTGAGTTTGTTCTCGTACGTCCATGGAAGCAGTAAGCAGGACACCTGGACCATCCTGTTTGGGTGTCCTGGCTGGAGGTCCTTGAGCAGTTTAGGGCAGTCCACACCCAGACAGGATGGTCCTGGAAGAGTCATGCGCCAAAAAGTGAGGCGGTATGGTCCTCGGCCCAGGAAGCATCTTCGGCAGATGTTCCCTCACTTGATCATCGTGGCCCGGCCGTGGAGTTTTTGTGAGTTCGGGGCCGAGGCGTTGGTGCCCAATCCACCTATGAATCGCTTGGAGAAGGCCTAGCCAGGTCATTCCTCGGTCGGACTTGACAGTGGAGTGCTGTTGATGTGAGTGCTCGGAATCCCTTCAATTCCCACATTCAACAGCTCCGAGATCTGCGATCGTTGACTTTGCGACCCGACCACCTGCTGTTGGCACAGGTCAGCAACAAAAGGATCTTGGAGGGTGCAGGCGGTGCAGGTTCGAAAGAACAGGTCAATCCAGGGTCTCTTCCTTGGGGTCAGGCACGTCGGGCTAGGCCGTTCACGCAGAACTCCTGGCTTCGCATAAAGCTAGCCAGAAGGCGGACATTTCGCAAAGTTGGAGGACATTTATGAATTATGAACCTCTAATTATGAATATTTATGTGTGTAAGTTTACACCTTGGGGGCAGGAACACCATTGCAAGACTCATGCCAACGAAGACGCTTGCAATTGGTGGTGAAACCAGACCTGATCAGTCCGGCGTACCTTACCAGCGATGACTTGATACTACCTCCTGGGCCCCGACAGACTCTGTTTCTTGCCTCGGTTTGCGGTAACGTGTTAATGAGCTCGGCAGACGTGCATTTGAGTCCTTTTTTGTCAGGCGCCTCTCCACTTGGTACTTTTGGGTTTCACGCCCATCGAATCTTAGGTTTCTTACTTCCGTTGGCACGTGGCACGCCGCAGTCAGTTCGTTCGCATCTATTCCCGAGTGTGCGTTCGTACGCTAGAAAAATCATTGTATAATAGTGTGTATATTAGATAGACAGACAGACAGACAGACAGATAGATAGATAGATAGATAGACCAGAAGTCGCCTCACCTCGCCCGCCCCCGACCGAGTGGTACGCCGTCCGACCACTCGGACCGGTCCCGCGGCCGAGGTGTGGATCAGCACCTGGGGCTCCGACGAAGAAGCGCGGCACCGGGAGAAGTTGGAGGGCCGCAAGGGCGGACGCGAGGCGCACGCCTTCTGGGAGGCGCGCGGGCGCGCACTGGGTGGGCACTGGGTGGGACTTGGGGGGGGGGGGGGGTTTTGTGTTTTGAAGAGGGGGGGGGGTTTGGAGTGGGAGGCAGCTGGTTGGTGGGGTGGCGCTATTTGGTGGTTTTGGGAGGTGGTTTTGGAAGAGAAACTGGGGTGGATCATGTTTGGACATGCCCCTGGTCTTCCGTGTGGGCTGAGTCTTGTCATGTCTTGTCCATTTCTTCATTGCAAGTGTGTAGTCATTTTTCATCCATGTCAGGTTCCACTCTTTTCAGAGCTTTCAATTCGCTGCCAGAGCTGCATCACCTTCAATTCCATCACTTCAGGCCAGTGGCCTCTGCCAGTTGTGCAACGGTGTGCCGATGCCACCCGGGCTCTCGGAGCTGGTCGTGGCGCAGCAAGCCTTGGGCGGAGTGGGTTTGGCCCTGCTGCGGCAGCAGCGCACCGGGCAGGGGCAATTCGTGCAGGTGCGGGGAAGCGGAACCCGCGGGGAACCCGCGGAGGGATGGCAGTACAGAAGCGCAGGAGGGGATGAGGACGCATGCTGGCTTGTTTTTGCGGGAGATGGGGAGGACAACTGAGTCAAGACAAGACGTCAATCTTCAATCACTGTTCTGGCTGATCGCTCAAGCAGATGGATGTGTCTCGCCGCCGGTCCCCAGGCACCCGCCGAGGGACAACTCGGTCGCCAGGTGAGCCGATACCGCTCAGGGCTCTTCTGCAGCTCGGCTTGGGGCCGCAGGGCCGGCATGGCCACGCACCAGGGCCACGGGGGGTTGGCCGTCAATCAAACGAAGAGTTCGCTTGTGGCACTTGGGCTTCATGTGGGACCTGAGCCTGATTATATAAGGCTTTGGACGTAAAAAATCGCACAGATGTGGCAGAGGGGAACCCGATTTCGATCCCACCCAAAATCAATCAATTGGGCCTGTCCGATTCCCTGTAGCAAGGGGACATTAAACATCCCTCCAACCCTTCAACCCCCCTTCCTTTGTTCCGCTCCTTTCCCAAACCTCTCCACCCCTCTATCCGGTGAGGCCAACGGCTGGCGGCGCTGGACCCTCCTAGGCCACTGACCTCGCCCTTGCTGCAGACCTTGGACGGCCGGTTCTTGCGGCTCTTGGGACGAGGCGGGGGGTGGAGCGGAGGAGTCAGCAGCCCCAAGGGGGGTGAGTGGTGAGTGGTGGTTTTTCAGACGGGGAGGGAAGAGCCAAGTATATGCTCCAAAGTGCCACGAGAAGTGCCTAGAGAGGTTGAAGAGCCCCATAGCTCATCCCATATGTACCACTACGGGGTCCTATAAGGTCTCTCGACCTCTCTTGGTGGTTCAATGATGTCTCGTTCGTGAGAAGCTGCTGCCAGTTGAGTTGGAGACGGGGGACTAGGCCACGAAGGGCCAGACGACACCGCGCTGAATCAGGATGCCATGATCGGGATGCACTGCAAAGGTGTAGGAAGGGAGTGAATTTGGAAGAACACCACCTGTTGGGCAGAGGTGTGAGCTGGAAGGTGCACGATTTTCACAGAAAAGTGGGGGCAGACACAAATAAAGTTCAGATCGAATTTGTCGAGGTATCTGAGCCATGGCAACGAGAATTTTGGCACTCCAGCCAAATGGTGATATCATGGTTCTTGAGGCCACGCCTGAGACGATAGGCTGGGAGCTTAACAGCAAGAGCAGATCAAGGAGAGGCAATTGTGGTGTCATTGACTCGGACCTGTTGCGTGCGGTCGAAATCCCGAGCGATGAAAGTCACATTCGTGAGAAAGGCATTCGATGGTTGCCGCCGTACACTGGTCAAAGTGACCATCTCAGCCCCACTGACCCACATCTTGGGGAGAGCGCCTTTCACAATGCCGTTTCTCAGTGAACAACGCTTGACCATCACGAACTCAGTGACCAACATTGGGTATGGTGCCTTTTTGCAGTGCAAATCTCTCAAGAGTTTGAGCATCCCGGACTCAGTGACCAAGATTGGGAATCTTCCCTTTTCGGGTTGCAGCTCTTCGGCGACCTTGGCGATCCCGGACTCAGCAATCCACATTGGGTCTGGTGCCTTTGAGAATTGTAACTCATTAGCGAGTTTGACCATCCCAAACTAGTGACCAATATTGGGTATGGTGCCTTTTTCGATTGCAGGTCTTTGGGAAGTTTGATCATTCCAGACTCCGTGACTCACATTGGCGAACGTGCATCTCAGTGACCCACATTGCAAAAGGTGCCTTTGGACATTGCATCTCGTTGGCAAGCTTATCCATCCCAGACTCGGTCACCCACATTGGGGATGGTGCCTTCAAGGGTTGCAGCTCTTTGGCGACGTTGACCATCCCGGACTCGGTGACCCACATTGGGGTGACCGCTTCTGAGGGCTGCCAGAGACTCGTGTTTAAGGAGTGCTGACATGAATGTGAGATCTTTGGCTCCTCAGATGTCACCTTGGCCACCCAGTCATAGTCCGTGGGGTTCTCTCTACTGCATGGTAGACTCTGAATGCAGATGATCTGCAAACCCACGTGGTGAGCAACCTCGTTCCCCACCGGTCCCGACTGTCCGCTCCGGCCACACCGCGCTTCGTGTTGGGCGACCTTCGTGTTCTCCGGCGAGGGCCCCGCGCGGGGGTCGATCGGAAAGCTGCGGCCCCGCAGGTCACAAGCCTCATGATGCTTGGGTCTTGCTGCACGCGCTGGGGCGGCGGGAGAGCTTGAGCGATCACGTGGGAGGAGAGACGCGGGCTGCGAGTGCAGACGCGTGTGCAGGGGAGGGAGGGGAGATGGTGTGGGATGATCGGAGGTTATGTGGCAGAGCTGCCGCAGGTGGGCTGGAACAGCCAATTGATGAGGCTCCTATTGGTGCACAAGTCGCTGGGAGTCTACTTACCCTAGAAGTCCAGTCGACCATTTTTCACATGGTTGATCTGGTTTTGTACTGTAGAATCCTTAGTAAAACAATGGGCGTCCGGTCAAGTAAAGGCTAATGGTGGGTGGTTCGACTTCTAGGGTATGTATAATTCAGAATGGCCTAGGCGACCCGACAAGGCATGTCATTTACTTCAGTGGGTCACACAGAGTGTCAGCCCCGGGACCATCCACTTGAGGTTACACGGACTGGCCTCGGATGGAGTCGGTAGCGAGGGGGATGACGGGGGGCCTCGGTGCGCGCCGGACGCAGACGGACCGAAAGCCTTCCCTTTTTGGAGGAGGTTCAACATCAGCGGGCACATCTCGAAACTGAGATGGGGCATGTAGGGCTGGAACAGATTGAAGTCAAGCTGGGGATTTTATGATATTATTTTGGTTTTATCCTTGATGAAGTGTTTTCCAACTATTCATTCCTTGATTTTATTGAAACTATTCTGTTCTATTTTGCAATCTTTGTATTTCTAACGTATGGTTGATTACTATATATTTCACAATCCTCAGAACCCAGAAAAGTTTTACCCCACTTGGGAGTCATAATCCACCACTAGCAGTTCAGGGCATCAATGAGTCATGACTGGACTCTGTTTGGAATGGCACCCTCGTTCTTCAGAGTGTGACCACGACCAATCCGACGAGTTCGGAGGACCTAGAGGGATACCAGAAGCACCCCACGTGACTTCACGGGGCTCGGCATGGATCGGCCAGGCAACATGGAGAAGGCCAGATCGAAGCTCAAGGACTTCACCTGGGAGGCGAGGATCTGTTTCGGGGAAAGGTCTGCAACCTAACCATAACCATCATCATTGTCGTCATCATCGTCATCATCGTCATCATCGTCATCATCGTCATCATCGTCATCATCATCATCATCATCATCATCATCATCATTCATCATCATTCATCATCATCATTCATCATTCATCATTCATCATTCATCATTCATCATTCATC